AAAAAAAAAAAAAAAAAACATCGATAGAGTACAAAACAGCACCAAAGAGATCTAGTCTTACTCCAATATCAAAGACGATATGTGAAAAGCTTAAATTTAAAAATTAAATTTAAAAAAATGCTCAAGTCAAGATTTTTTACTCAGATTTGCTCTGAATAGTTAGGATATTCAAATATTTATCATAAGGAATATATTAAATATATTAAAATTACGTCTTTTAAATGCTTAGATATCTACAAATCGGAAGGAAGTGAGATATTTTCCTAAGAAACCTTTTTTTAAGAAAAGAAAATAATATCCTACGACGATGATAAAACATTCGATAAAGTTCAAATTAAAACAGAAAGCTGAAAAAGGGTTAATACTAAAGAAAACAAATCAAATATCCATTTTTAAAGAAAACGAGTTATTGTATTTGTATTTTCTTTGTTAGTTTTGAAGTTTTGAATCCGTTAGAATTAATGATTAATGGATTTAAGGAACACTGATGTAAACACGATAAGAGACAAAAGAATATCTCTTTTCTTACTGTTTCTATTGCTTTGTTGTCGTTTAAAAAATATGATTATGAATAAATTCAAATAAAAGTTTAAAAATCAGAACCCTTGACTTGTGTGATGCATGGTGGCGTAGCGGTGAGAGCGCTCACTTCTCTGTAATAAAATCGGGTAATTCCCGCACACGGTGCCATATGTGGGTAGAACTGCTTATTGGTTCTCTCCTATACTTCGAGGATTTTATCAGGGCTCTAAGGTATTTCCTCCCTCCGAAAAAAAACGACTTTTAAATTTCAATTGAAATCCGGTGTAAGGAGGCGCTCTGTGGAACCACTTTTCGTTCCCATTCATTTCTTTATTTTTCATTTTAATTCGGAAAGCGGTGGTGGTTTCATGTGGGAGATCTTAGCTCTCGTAGTCCAAGATGAGGCATAAACAAAACAAAATTGAAAAACACTGTGGGAATCAAAGGCTCCCTCACAGCTGTATCCTCTCTAGCAGTTTTAATTTATATTTAAATACTCCGCGTTAAATCCAAATCTAACAAAGAAAATAATCCTCCTTTTTTTTGGAAAACTAACAAGATGGGGTCGAAATGATAATGTGTCGAAATTAATAGTTTAAAGACCTCCGCTAGAGACGCGTCGCTGTCACGTTTTGGTTCAATACATCGGTAGACTGACGATGGTTTGATTTAATTATGGAAAGATCAGTTTTGAATAACATACCTATCTCGCAAACGTATCCTGTGCCGATGTAGCCTTGACGACAGCGGCAGTGTCCATCAACGCAATCAGCATTGACGTCACAATCAGCACAGCGGTCAACTGAAAAGTAGATGTAATTGTGGATTACATTCGTGTTGGTTGACAGTGTCACATCTGAGATTGTAGTAATCTTGTCAGCAATAATGTCTTTTGCAATTTTGAAAGATTCTGTTCAAAGACCTTCCTCATATTAATTTATAATAATAAGAATAGAAAAAAATATCGCCAAAAAAATAGTGTAATTTGAGGCTAAGTAGTCAATCAGTTCTAAAAACTATTGATACTTGAAGATCTATTATGGAGCCCATTAATGAAGTGTACATTCATTTGCATTTTGAGAACAAAATTCCTATCCACCCCTCCCCAACAAATGAGTCAAAGAATGTCGTCTATAGAGGTTTTGCACCATCACGTACCAATCCCATAATACTGCTTGGGCTTCCTGTGGTTAGATGGCAGAACAATAAAATCCCACTGCTCTTGGGAATTGAATACTTTCTTATGTAAAACATATGTACTGTTCCTGCCATCTAACATGGCTGCTGTCACGTGGTGGTGCAAAACCTCTATTACAGTACTATTTTACCTTCACAGTTGGGTCCGGTGTATCGCGAAAGACAGATACAGTCGTACCCATTCCCTCTCTCTTTACACGTACCACCATAAAGACAGGGGCTTGGGGAACAAAGAGTTTCAACCACTGGTTCAGGGACAGGAACTAAAAGAGAATCATGTCATTGTTAGTTTTCAATTGTATGTTTTTATATATGCATATATATGTCTTTTGTTACATCATCCAACACGGTGGTCATGTCTTTTGTTATATCATCCAACATGGTGG